AATGCATCAAGCATGTGCAAACTAGTATCTTTTCCTAATATAGTGGCACTAAATAAATGTTTGGCTCTGTTTGAATTTGATTTTGTTTTTTAGTTCTTCAAAACTGTTTTGTAATATAGATTTTGAAAATTAAAAAACAAGAAAAACTTGTTTGAGTACAGTTGAATCTAAAGTTAAAAAGAAGTTGAATTTATTTACAAAAGTGCCATTAATGAGCCTTCATGATTACTAGATTGCCAACATAAAGCAATTTAAAATTGAAAAGAAATTGGATTTATTTTCGAAAATTCCATTAATGAATCTTCATAATTACAAAATTGCCACCACAAAAACAGTAAAACTAAAATATAAAAAGTGGAAGAGGAGTTTGAAGCATCATGTTAGGATACATTGTCAATTTTCACCCTCTGCCCCTCAACTTATTCGATGTTTACTTTCACCAAGCACGTAATTAATCTAACTAGGTGCCCTGCAGAATCATTTGCTCAAACTTTATTACAAGTCTATACAAAAATGTAACCAATACATTAGTTCATTATTTTTATTTGTGGAATCCTCTATGCTGCCAGATCTTCTTGTTCAGCTGCGCAAGAGCTGACAGCGGAACAACTTGAGAATTTGCTACCTTCTTGTAATTCAGGTTTGAATTTTGTGATTGCTTCACTTGAATCCAATGTCTCAGATTCCTTGTTATGTATGATTTAATTTCAATACAATGAATTGTTAAACTGGGGTATGAAGACTACTATGTCATTAAATGCTTTTGTTTTACAGCTGTTTCCAAGAAAATAAAGGCCACCAAGCAGGATCCTGATCATGCTGAAGCTTTGGAGGGACTTGACACACTTGCAAATCTAGCCATCCTGGGAGAGGGTGAGGCACTCCCATCGTCTGCCCAAGCCACAACGAAACACCCACGTCATAGACCTGGCTGCTCTTGCATTGTTTGCATTCAGCCTCCCAGTGGAAAGGGCCCCAAGCATAAGCAGACATGCACATGTAATGTCTGCCTGACAGTGAAGCGTCGTTTCCGTACCCTTATGTTACGGCGTGAGAAGAAACAATCAGAAAGAGAAGCAGAGACAACACGTAAAAAGCAGCAGCAACAGCATCCTCAGCCATTACCTTCATCTGAAATTTTGCTTGATGATGATTCTTTGCCTTGTAGTAACACGGGTGAAAGTAGCCCAAACCAGAACAAGGAGGGCAATGATGGTTCTGATGATGATCCTAACCGGATAAAATCATCTGCTTCGCCATTCAAAGGCCAAATTGATCTCAATATCCAGCCAGAGAGAGAAGAAGAATTATCACCCGGTTCAGATTCTGGCGGCATGATGAAGTTGCTCCATGATGCTACCGAGAGGTATCTCAAGCAGCAGACTGGGTTGAACTCTGGTACTGGAGATACATCAGGCAGTCAATTGCAGCAGGTTGGAGATGTAGTGAGGGAAGAGAAACTTAGCAATGGTGTTGCCCGTGGCAGTAATAGTCATAATGCTGATAAGGAACATGCCCAATCTTTGTCTATGAATGTGTGAAATTCATATTGGCGCTAGCCATAATTGACACGTCTGAAAAGCTATATTGAAGTGGGGAAAGATTTTGCTGTACATTCATCCACTTCGGCTTCTTGCTTTTTCATGTCTGTACATAAAGAGGGGTAGGAAGAAAGGAAATTGGTGAACAAAACCATTATGTTATGGTAATATAAGTGGACATAGCGGTGTGTGTAGGGAAATTATGGGATGCAGCTGAATGGAGTAGTGGGTTGAAACTATTTAGTTTCTTTTGGAAGCTCACCGTGCCACCTGATTTCAACAACACTGAAAATGTAACTTTGCCTAATTTGTTCTCTCAATTTATTCTTAGTCTGTAAGCTGTGTCTACAAAATGTAGTTCTGTTGCTATTTCTCTTGATTGGCTGCACAGTTGTACCTGTTTCAGCAGGCAACCTTCTGTCTACAACCAATGATAGGTGAGACATATCGGTTGTTTTATGGGAAAATGCACTCATCCACTTATATCTCCTATCAGCTGCATATTTCTCCCTTTAAACTCTTGATGTAGTCCCAGCCAAATCTAATCCACTGTTTAATTATGAATATTCTCTTGCTCAAATTGTCGCTACCGTGATCTTGCAAGACCCTTTTGGAGTGAAAAGATACTGGATTTTCTGCCCTTAACTTAATGTCCCAGAAGTACAATTTTTACCAATTGGTCAAGCGCAATTGATAGTCTTCCTATAAAAAACTCATGTCATGGCTGTTCTTGAAAGTAAATTTAAACAATGTTCCATCATGTACCAAAAAATACTATGTGCTGTTGATAATGTGGTGAAAGATTGGAGGAGAATGTGCTGAAATAAAATACTGTATGATAAATAAGTTTTGATATGTACGTACTGAAATGCTTAATTTAAAATACTGAAATAAAATACTGTTGGTAAGTACAACTTTTCCTTAATTTAAAGTACTTAATTTTTTTTTTGTAATCAGTTTAAAGAGTTTTACATTTTCATTATGATGTCATTAAGTTAAAATTTGCAAAAATGTTTTTAATGTTTAAGTTAGGGGAAAAACATCTATCCTTTTAAAGGATATAAGTTTATATCCTTTTAGATCCTAACCGTTGATTTTCGTCCATCAACGGTTATAATTTATTGGGCCAAACTTAATGGGCCAAATTTATTATTATTAATTAATTAATAATTTTAATCCAATAAATTATAATTGTTGATGGACGGAAATCAACGGTTATGATATAAAAGGATATAAGTGAGATCTTATTCCCTTAAGTTAAATATAAAAAATACAAACTATCTTTTTTATTGTCTACTTTTGTTATCACTCTTATCATTTCTCTCTCTTATTGAGATTCTGATCTAACGGTGTTGAAGAATGTAAGCAAAAGTACACAGAAAAAAAAAAAGGTAGAATAACCAATCCCTATATATATATATATATATATATATATATATATATATATATATATATATATAGGGATAGGATATTGTGACACATAAATAATGTTACACACAATGTTACGACCACATCTTAACCGTTGATTTCTGTCAATCAACGGTTATTATTTATTGCGAATTAATAATTAATTAATGAGTTTGATTTAAAAAATGACAACCGTTGATTGACGGAAATCAACGGTTAAGATGTGGTTGTAACATTGTGCGTAACATTATTTGTGTGTCACAATATCCTATCCCATATATATATATATATATATATATATATAATGAGAATTTTTTTTATCATTTTAAAGGACACAAGGTTGTTTCCTTGTATCAATTATAATTATGTATTACGGGTAGAACACATATATAATATTAAAATTATATTTTTCTCTCTCTTTAGAATTGTCTATTGACGTAAAAAGTGAAAAAAATACAACTTTAATAATATAGTTATATACTACCCATATTACATAATTATAATTGCTAAAAGGACACAACCTTATATATTCTTTAAAAGAATACACACTCAACCTATATATATATATATATATATATAGGAAAAAATGTTTATCCTTTTAAATGACACAATTTATATCATTTCACTCTCACAAAGAAGTGGGACCCACACATTTATTTTTTTTGTCAACTCTCTCCTCCTTTATCTATCTCTTTCTCTCTCTTAAAATGACACAACTTTACATCTTTTAAAATAACAAACACTTTACCCATATATATAATACATGACTAGTATCATTGGTATTAAATTCTCTCTCTCTCTCTCTGTGTTAATTCCTTTATTTTCGCGGCTTCACCTAAAGTAAATATCATCTTGTGGTTACCAACTTGAAATTTTAAATTATTATCCTTGGGAATGCGAAATAATATAAGGAGTGAGAAGCGTTTAGGAGTGGTGGTGCAATGCTACTATTTAGCGCTAGAGCTCTTTTTTTAAAACACAAAAAGTAAAATGATCTCCCAAAGGTTCTGTAACATGAAAGTAGTTCAAAAATAAAATTTAAACAAAGAATTACTTAAAACTAATTAAAATTTACAAAGCCAATTTAAGTTTGAACACAGTTCTAATTAAATCAACATTTTACTTGCCAAGCGTAGTAATATTTTCAAATGATTTTATTACCTATATGTTTGCAACATTATAACTTATTGCATGTGAGATGTGAATAATAATAAAAAAATGAAATTTATATAAAGTTTATAAGAATAATCTTTTCTTTTCATTTACCTTAAATATTCAAATTTTTAAAAGTTGAGGGTATTAGTAAATGTTTACCTAAAATATAAAAAAAATGGTTAAACTAATGATCCAGATTCTAAAGTTTAATGCAAGTTCCATTACTTTCGGTTAAAAATTAATATATATATATATATATATATATATATATATATATATTGATGGAATGCCGAAACAATGCAAGTCTTTTGCATGCAGGCTTCATCCTATGTTCTTGTGATGGGAACTTCTATTTAAACAAACTTTAATGTCACCTGAAAAACACCCCTAAAAATAAAAGAGCAAAATGGCTGAGAGGACAGAAAAAAAGAAGACCAAGTCATTTGAGAGTAGAAATAAAAAACAGCATTGCCACTTGTTAATATGGGAGTAAACTTTGGTATACCAAACTTCTAAACGCCCTTCTTTGATTAGTGTCAAGTTAATTTGGCTGGTCCCCATTTCACATTAACCATGGACCTCTAATCCGTTCACCCCAAGAAGAAAAAGGACTTGTTGCCTCAGAGCCTTTTGTTGGTCACAATTGGTTGCTTTTGCCTCTCTTCCCCGTTTGTAAAATTGATCATTATCCAGAGGAGGGTGAGAGGACAAAGGCAACCCCAAAATTTGGTCAGAGGAAGGAACACATACAAACTGTGTTAAGATCAAACCATCTATATAGTCTTTATGAGCTTTCTGTTACTGGATTCACCAAGTACAGAAGAGATCAATTAACAGAAAAGAAAATAAAGCAAAAAGAAAAGAAGTGTTAGGCGTTGCTCACTAAATCTGCAAAAAATGAACGACCTATTCTCAAGCTCCTTCAAAAAATACAGTGACTTGAAGGAGCAGGCCTACATTGATGATGTGGAGGCTGGGAAGGAAAGTGTCAATCTCGATAAATTCTTTGAAGATGTGGAGAATGTAAAAGAAGACATGAGACTAGTTGAGAAGCTCTATAGAAAATTGCAAGAGGCTAATGAAGAAAGCAAAATCGTCCACAATGCTAAAACCATGAAAGATCTTCGAGCAAGGATGGATAAAGATGTTGAGCAGGTCCTTAAACGTGTTAAAATCATTAAGGGCAAGCTTGAAGCTTTAGAGCGTTCCAATGCAGCTAACAGAAACATTCCAGGGTGTGGTCCAGGTTCTTCAGCTGATAGAACGAGAACTTCAGTGGTTGGTGGCTTGGGGAAGAAACTCAAGGACATGATGGATGATTTTCAAGGGTTAAGAGCAAGAATGCAACTGGAGTACAAGGAAACAGTGGAACGCAGGTATTTCACAATAACAGGAGAGAAGGCAGATGAAGAAACTATAGAGAATTTGATATCAAGTGGAGAAAGTGAAAATTTTCTTCAGAAAGCAATTCAAGAACAAGGGAGGGGTCAGATAATGGACACCATATCAGAAATTCAAGAAAGACATGATGCTGTTAAGGAAATAGAGAAAAACTTAATTGAGCTACATCAGGTTTTTTTGGACATGGCAGCTCTTGTTCAATCTCAAGGCCAACAACTCAACAACATAGAGTCTCATGTGGCTCATGCTAGTTCTTTTGTTAGACGAGGCACAGAGCAACTTCATGAAGCCAGAGAGCATCAAAAGAGCTCTAGGAAGTGGACCTGCTATGCCATAATTCTTGGTATTGTCCTTGTTGTTGTGCTCCTGTTTCCTCTCTTGTCATCAGTTTTACCTCACTTGTTACTATGAAGAAGCGGGAGATTGAATAATCTTTGAAGAGCATTTCAACCCCCAAAGCATAGTTAGATTTTGCATTCTGAAATGCACATGGTTCTACCTAGAACACATGGGCATGCTGCATGAGCAGCGGAAATGAGAATCTGATGACTGACACCCTTCAGATTTTGGCATTGCATATGCAGAAACATTCAAATGCTTTATCTGAAATTATCAAAGTAGTTGATCTTCCCGAAGCCAAGAAGTCATAGAACCAGGTTATTCTGAGTTTTTTGGATTCCCATAGAACTATAAGAGAACAATTCCAAACATGACAATGACAAAGTTGTAATCGCAAGTTGACACGAACTTTGTAATAGCAATTCTCTCGATCTATCTTTTTTTCTCTGTTATTCTCAGTTGTTCTTACCTGTTTACTTATGGTAGAAGAACTTGATATACAAATCCAGTATCATCATATAATGTTTCAAGATAAATCACATTTGCTATACTCATTTATATACGCGTGGACATGCATGGTGTATGGTATGCATAATTGTACAAATACAATATGTATGACATATTTTAAAAAGCAATATATAACGAGCATGATCAGGTATTATCAATGAAGTATCACAATTTTCTGGATCATCTTTTTTTTTCCTATTATTCTCGGTTGTTCTTACCCGTTTACTTATGGTAGAAGAACTTGATATACAAATCCAGTATCATCATATAATGTTTCAAGATAAATCACATTTGATGTACCCATTTATATCAGCTATGCCGCGTGATATAAATAACCAAATAACTTGATTATTTAAAATTAGTTTCCCAGTAATTTTATCTTTTTTTTTCCTATTATTCTCGGTTGTTCTTACCCGTTTACTTATGGTAGAAGAACTTGATATACAAATCCAGTATCATCATATAATGTTTCAAGATAAATCACATTTGATGTACCCATTTATATCAGCTATGCCGCGTGATATAAATAACCAAATAACTTGATTATTTAAAATTAGTTTCCCAGTAATTTTTTGTTGAGTTTTTGACGTCATAAAATGACCAAATAAGAGCTGTTTTAAAAACTATTATTGATAGTATTTTCTGAAACTGACCTCTATACATCATTTGAAACCACTTAATGACATTCCTATATTTTCTTCTTAGTAAAAACGAATTCATTTCTAGGTTACAAGATCCCATAAACAATATGAGATAATAAAGTAGGGATAGGATATTGTGACAACCAAATAATGTTGCTACTACATCTTAACCGTTGATTAACCCATTTCCAAAAGGAATAGATATAGGTATACCTGATCGCCGATTTTCCACCTGGAAACGTTTTTGCCAACGGATTCGATAGTTTCTGAACACTCAAATTTTTGTTAGAACAAAAATATATGCATATGATATATGGTTAGAAAATTATTATCTCATTAAACAAATTTTTTAAGATTTTCAAGATCAATTGCAAAAAATTTTAAACAAAATTTTATCATGAACTTTAGATTTTATATGTAAATTTAGAATTATTTTAATAATTAACAAAAATTGGGTCTTTTAATCATATATGTATAGCTTTGATATCAAATGAATAAAATAATTTTCAACCTATTAGTCAAACCCAAGAGAAAGAACGAGAAAATACTAATGTATGAAGGACTAATATAATTTTAGATATGTTAAAAACTATTGTTTAGTAATTTTGAATGCTTGTCAAAAATTATGAGACATGATAATGTAACAAGTTACTACCAATGTTACTACGAATCAATTTCACCGTTAGATCAATTATGTTCATCCAACGGTTATATTTATTTTCATTTTTGTATAGATATGATTCCCCATATTTAATGTGAAAACATTAAATATGAGAAATCATAACCATACAAAGTCAAAATAAATATAAAGTATCAAATATGGTGAATCATAATCATACAAAGATGAAAATAAATATAACTGCTGGTTCAACATAATCGATCTAACGGTGAAATTGACTGGTAGTAATATTAGCACTAACACTAATTGGTTGTTACAATGTCCTTCCCCAAATATTATATTATATTTTACATATTAGGTTTTAATTTTTTTATTAATTTCATTCATTTATTTGTTATTTTTTTTACGGGGAAGGTTATACTTACAACCTATTTTTGTTTATAACCATATCTTAACCGTTAATTTCCGTCAATCAATTATTATTATTTTTACAAATCAAACTCAATAATTAATATTTAATTTGCAATGAATGATAACCGTTAATTGACAGAAATCAACAATTAAAATATGGTTGTAAATCTTCTCTTTTTTATTGACTCTTATAATTTTAAATGTTTATTAAAAATTAAATTTTATAAATTCATATTGTCTTTTTAAATCTTATAAATTTTATTAAAATCCTTTAAAATTTAATATTAGGAAATGTTAATTATAAAAAAATCTTTTAAAAAAATCTTTAAAGTCTTTTTAGTTATAAATAGTATTTAAAATTAAAAGATTTTAAATAGAAATTCCAAAATAAAGGAGGAGAAATAAAGAAAGGATTATCCTTCTTCACTCGATCAAATAAAACCCTAAAATCTTAACTCCGATCCGTGGCCGACGAAGCCAAAGCCAAAGGCAACGCTGCTTTCTCTTCCGGCGACTTTGCGGCCGCCACCGTCACTTCTCCGACGCCATCGCTCTATCCCCTGAAACCTAAAAAGTTGTGTTTCCTTGCCCTTCCCCTCTACCCTCTCCATCTGTGTCCAGTTCGAATGGCAATTTCGCAGGAGCTATACCCATCGGAAGATGACCTCTTATACGAAGAAGAGATTCTCCGAAACCCATTCAGCCTGAAGCTATGGTGGCGCTATCTTATCGCTCGCTCAGAGTCTCCATTCAAGAAGCGTTTCGTCATTTACGAGCGTGCCCTCAAGGCACTCCCTGGAAGCTACAAGCTTTGGCACGCTTACCTTCGCGAACGCCTCGACCTCGTAAGGAACCTTCCCATCACTCACTCACTTTACGATACCTTAAACAATACCTTCGAACGTGCCCTCGTTACAATGCACAAGATGCCCAGGATTTGGATCATGTACCTACAAACCCTAACGGAGCAGAAATTGGTGACTCGCACCCGAAGAACCTTCGATAGGGCACTCTGTGCTCTTCCTGTCACCCAGCATGATCGCATTTGGGAACCCTACCTCGTCTTCGTCAGCCAAAAGGGTGTCCCCATCGACACTTCCCTTAGGGTATATCGCAGGTACTTGAAATACGACCCTTCCCACATTGAAGATTTTATTGAGTTTTTGCTTAATTCGAATCTCTGGCAAGAGGCTTCTGAAAGGTTGGCTTCAGTACTGAATGATGACCAATTTTATTCCATAAAGGGGAAAACCAAGCACAGGTTATGGTTGGAGCTGTGTGATCTGCTCACCAGGCATGCCAATGAAGTCTCTGGGTTAAATGTGGATGCCATTATTAGGGGTGGGATAAGGAAATTCACTGATGAGGTGGGTCGACTTTGGACTTCACTGGCAGAGTATTATATTAGGAGGGGTTTGCATGAGAAGGCAAGGGATGTGTTTGAGGAGGGTATGTCCACAGTCATCACCGTCAGGGATTTCAGCGTCATTTTTGATTCATACTCACAGTTTGAAGAGAGTATGCTTGCTTTTAAGATGGAGGAGATGGGTTTAAGTGATGAAGAAGATTATGGTGATGAAGAAAATGGCATTGAGGAGAATGAGGAGGAAGATGAAGATATTCGTTTCACAGGAAGACCGCTGGATGAGGACTTTGAGAAGAAACTATTACGCGGGTTTTGGTTGAATGACAAAAATGACATAGACTTAAGATTGGCTCGATTTGATTATCTTATGGAGAGGAGGCCAGAATTGGCTAATAGTGTGCTTCTGCGTCAAAATCCTCATAATGTGGAACAGTGGCATCGAAGGGTGAAGCTTTTTGATGGTAATCCTACTAAGCAGATACTGACTTACACTGAAGCAGTGAGGACGATTGATCCCATGAAGGCAGTGGGAAAGCCTCATACTTTATGGGTTGCTTTTGCTAAGCTGTATGAGCAGCACAAAGATCTTGCCAATGCTCGGGTCATATTTGACAAGGCAGTACAGGTTAACTACAAAACTGTGGATAATCTGGCTAGTATCTGGTGTGAGTGGGCAGAAATGGAGTTAAAACATAACAATTTCAAAGGAGCACTTGAGCTTATGAGACGGGCTACAGCAGAGCCTTCAGTTGAGGTGAAACGAAGAGGTAATCTTAGTTCACCTTGTTCACAATTTTCCCCAATATGCTATACTTTTAGTTCTTTAATATTATCATATTTGTTGAGGGAGGGCATGACATGAACTAACTTTGGATTTGTCTTATACTTTACTTTCAGTGGCTGCGGATGGGAATGAACCAGTTCAGATGAAACTGCATAAATCTTTGAGATTGTGGACCTTTTATGTTGATTTGGAGGAAAGCCTTGGTACTTTGGAGTCTACTCGGGCTGTTTATGAGCGGATATTGGATTTACGAATAGCCACACCACAAATAATCATCAATTATGCATACTTTCTGGAGGTATAGAGCAATTGTTGTGTTTTAGTACATCTCTTTTGTATTTTACTTCCACTGGTTTTGACTGATTGACAAATTGTTACATATATTTATGCAGGAACATAGATACTTTGAAGATGCTTTTAAAGTCTATGAAAGAGGTGTGAAGATATTTAAGTACCCGCATGTTAAAGATATATGGGTTACATATCTGTCTAAATTTGTAAAGAGATATGGAAAGACAAAATTGGAGAGAGCGAGAGAGCTATTTGAGAATGCGGTTCAAACGGTATGCACATTTCCCCCCTCAAATCTAAGTGTTCTTGAAGTATTATTTATTTATGAGTTTTACATTGGTGATCCCAGAGCATGATTAAGTTTAAACTTTAAAGTGTGTCAAATATCAACAAAGCTTATTCCTGAGGTATTTTTGAAAATGACCCATCATAAAATAGTCTGCTTGATGATCTCAGTTTTTTTTGTCTTTTGTATGGTTTATAATTTCCACTACTCAAGTTGAACCTATAAAATATTAATTAATTTTTCATGAAACATCAAATTTGGTGAGTCGATGTAGATTAATGCTGATATATTGATGTAACTCATGTAATGCAATTAAGCTTATATTATTACCTTATAAGGTTTAGGTGCAACTTTGAACATTATTGCCCTGCAAGTTGAAGTGTATATTTCAATTTTCTAATATCATAAGGCAACATGCTCTTTTAGGGTTTAAAGGTCACCTTCAACTTAAGATGGATGTTCTTACTGTTCATTAGCTGATCAAATAGGCTACAATAAAGTGGTTTCAATTGGAAGGAGATGAATACTTCTGGTTGATTTAAATGGTTTCAAACCGTGTTTTCACTTGTAATTAGAGGATTTGTCAATATATGCTGGATGTAGGTCTATATAAAGGACAGCAGAATTGAATTTCTGTTTGTGGTCTTGCATGTGTCTAATATAAAGAATTAGAGGTTTTGCATTAGGAAAAGTGAATTTCAATTTGGTGGTACCAGAAATTAACAAACAGAAAAATGAGCCTTACTAACAATTGAATTAACTGAATCAAATCACTGGTGTTAATATCATGGAAATTAAGATCTTACAAAGACAATTACCTCCTTACAATAACTATGAAATGACAGTAATCGGTGTATCCGATTTACAACTAAAAATAACAAAGAGATACAACGTAATTGACTAGAAAATAAACCCCATTACAAAGACAATTGTTTGTATTGTGTTGAAGTTTTGAAGTATGGAAAATGCGTCTAGTTTGTCAAAGATATATTAAGTATTTTTTAGTTATCTGCTTTATATGATGATATTTTATTTCCTAATATCGCTTTTGAATGCTGATAATGTTTTATAATACTAACCTAATCCTTCTTTGGGTCATGCTTGCCAAACAGGCCCCAGCTGATCAAGTGAAACCTCTTTATCTGCAATATGCTAAGCTGGAGGAGGATTATGGACTAGCAAAGCGGGCTATGAAGGTTTATGATCAAGCAACTAAGGCTGTTCCTAACAATGAGAAGTTAAGCATGTACGAAATATATATTGCTCGTGCAGCTGAGATATTTGGTGTTCCCAAAACAAGGGAGATCTATGAGCAGGCAATTGAATCTGGTCTTCCAGACAAGGATGTAAAAACTATGTGTTTGAAATATGCTGAGCTGGAAAAAAGCCTGGGAGAAATTGATCGGGCTCGAGGAATATATGTATTTGCCTCTCAGTTTGCAGATCCACGGTCTGATCCAGAATTTTGGAATAAGTGGCACGAGTTTGAAGTTCAGCATGGGAATGAAGATACCTTCAGAGAAATGCTTCGTATTAAGCGCAGTGTCTCTGCAAGCTACAGCCAGGTTATTTTAAATGTTTTCATTTTCATTTTCCCTGTCTGTAACCTTGATATTTTGCATTTATTCTAATCTTACTTGTATTGTTTTTCCAGACACATTTTATACTGCCTGAGTATATGATGCAGAAGGATCAAACTGTGAATCTTGATGAAGCCAAAGACAAATTGAAGCAGGCTGGGGTACCTGAGGATGAAATGGCCGCTTTAGAAAGGCAATTAGCCCCAGCAGCTAACAATATAGTGACAAAAGATAGAAAAGTTGGGTTTGTGAGTGCTGGAGTGGAATCACAGTCTGATGGAGGGATAAAAACTAGCATAAATCACGAAGATATCGAGTTACCAGAAGAAAGTGACTCTGATGATGATGATGATAAGGTTGAAATTGCACAAAAAGATGTCCCTTCTGCTGTTTTTGGTGGTTTAATTAGAAACAGAGACGAGAATGAAAACAACGAAGAAGCGGATGGTGCGAAAGATAAGGATAATGAGAATCGGCTTGGTGCCCTTGAGAGAATAAAGAGGCTAAAACGAAATTAAATTTTGGGTGAGATTATTCGGGATGAAATTTTGATAACAGTGAAGTTAGTTTTATGGTTTTGTATTATGTACGTGTCAATCTAACTAGAGTTTTTAACTGCATTTAAGACGTGTTGATCTTGCAGTAAACTCTAGTTCTTATGTTGTATTCCTTTTCAAATCATATAATTTTCAGCTTAGAGCTACCAAAGTACCAGGAAAATTGTTGTCTCCGGGTCAAAGAACCACAGCATACTATTGACAAGTTATCTGAACTAATACGAGCAACAACATGCTATTGACAAGTTATCTGAACTAATATAAGCAATAGAAAGAAGCATACACAAATTTATCTTGGACAGATAAGAAAACTACTACTGTACAGAAATTCGAAACAATGGATCGTGGTGGAGGAGCCGCTCCAATTTGATACCAGGTTGAAATTTGCTTCCCAAACGCATGGAACTTTAATTTTTTTTTGTTTAATAGTTGAAATAAATGGAACAACAGATTAAAAAAAATAAAAATTGATTAGCTTCTTGAGAGTTGTTGGTCTAGTGATGTCCACACTAAATTCAAGGATTTGATCTGTTTAAAATGTAATTGGTTCAATTTCTCAAAGTTGCAATTTATGGGAAGGGTGAGGCTCAAACTTGAAAACAAATCAGTGTGGACATTAAGGCTTCAGCCACTGAATGATTTCTATCAAAATAAAGGGATAAATAATAGTTATCTTATAGGAAAAATAATTTGGTCATCCTAAGATATGACAAAACAAAATCACTGATCAAAGTGTCTCATTCCATTTTTTTTATTTTTATTTTTTGTTTTTTACTGTAGCATGATAGGAATTTTCTTCTTGTAACATGACAAAATAAAAATCCATATTTGATCAGCTTCTCAAACGGTTGCTTAAAAAAAGATAAAGTTATGATTTTGTTGGGCTTCTCTGTTTGTTTACTTCATTGCTCAAGATGTTCGTTTGGGTTTAATAACCCAATTTTGTGATGATTTTTCTCTGGTTTGGTCTCGAGAAGTCTCTTATATAAATTATAAACATATGCCATTTGGAAACCATTTTATCGTGAACTGATTGCTTGGTAATCTGCTAAAAAAGAAATTGAATTTTTGAAGTTCGGGAACGGATTCCAAAGATATCGTGGCAGCAGGAAGTGAGTATTGCTCGTGAATTTGGATCTTTTCGTATTATTTGATCACTATCATTCATTTAAAAATTATGTACTTTTTTCTCTCTTATGTTATCATCAATAAATATTTATCATTAAATAACATGATCATTTTTCATATAAAAAGATCCAAACCCATTGCTCATAGTGAGGTGCTACAAGCCTACATGTGAGTAATTAGTGCGGTCCTACTTCAAGCAAGAAAAACTCCGTAATAAACAATATTACACACAAGTCCAGCTTAAACAGGTACCTAGAATCTGTTCAAAACCTAGCCAAGTGCTAGTATATTCTGTAAGCTAATTAAAGAATTATTCATTTATGTTTCATTTACTTACTTGGTAAATTAAAAGGAATTATTTTTCTTATCCGGAAATCATAATTTTCGGAAATATAATAAAAAAATGAGTTTCTCTTATCAAAATATTATTTACTAAGCCAAAATATTCACAGAAATATTGAGTTAATTTTCTTGATATTATGTTTGGTTGATTGTAAAATATTGCTGATAATGAGGATTGAGGTTAATCATGTCATAAAAAATTATCAAATATTCCCATCATATATGATTTTCAAAATAACATCCATTTGGTGATATTTTAAGATAAAATTTTTCTTTATAAACATGAATACCGAGAATTCGACTTTTCCAAGAATTTTTTTACAATACTCGTACCAAACATAGGTAAATCGAATTTTCAATCTCACTTTTTTAGGATTTTAAAATTTTGCCTTCTACCAAACACCTCATATATAAATATATATGAATTAATGTACTAATATATATATTTCGATCTCTATTTATACATTTTTATCTCGCTCTTTTGTTGTTTCGTTCCATTTGGGGTTGATTTTACTCCTTTGAGACGTTGTAGACTTTTAGATACGTTCACAATTGAGTAGAACCTGGTTCTCCTATATTCGAAATTTCCAACTTCGTTTTTCTTCTCACATTGATTTTATACTTTTTTTTATTAGTTTTTGAGGTGGACTTTGACGTTGATTTTTAGTTGGGATAGCTAATTTAGGGGCCAAATGTTAATTTTTTCAATTAATGTGAAGATATCATCAAAGTAGTTTTTCTCGTTTAAATTTTAATCTGGTCGGGTATAATTAGATTCAAGTTTCTCATACCCTGCATACTCAGATAAGCTACAATGGAAAAAAGAAGAGGAATGTATCAATTCGTTTAATAATGTATTATTTGTATTTGTTAGTTAATATTATAAACTTTAAGAAGCATCAAAATTCCAAAAACAATTTATGTATCTTGGTTATACTGGTGCTCCGATTTATCACAAATATAGTATTAGAGTAATATAACTTTATTATTATTTCTATTCTAAAAGAAGAAACTATATAATGTCTTTTTGCCAATTCAAGAAAGAGATAATATATGTAAATAACAAATCTTTAGCTTTATTCCATAAATTAATGAATCAGAGAGTTCTATTGTTTGCACATGAAAGATTCGTGTAGTCTGATCACAAACGTACGTGTTTAACATTGTCAAATTGATTTAACTATTTAATTATTTACAGTTAATTTCTCGCTAAGATGGTAGAGAATAGTCAATTAATCATAACATGATAGTTTAAACTTTAAAGACATTATTAACCGTAAGTGATTAAATTAGTTCAACAATAAGTTAATCAGCAGTCTATTAATAAATCTGTAATTTTTATTTTTATTTTAGCATATCAATCATTTTCCAATACGTTATGGGTTGCTTTATTTTAAAATTATGAAATGAAGTTAGAAGCACTTTTAAGGCTGATTACTTATCATTAGTCAGCGGGTGGCCAGTGAAATCATGTACATAACAAGAGACATGCTTAAAAAACTGAACAAATCATAAGAAAGAAAACTAATAAAATGTCAAATTCTACATCACATACGTCCATTCTTGCTATTAATCAGAGAACAATAATATCCTTAAGTTCCCTCCCCATATATAAGATTTTGTGTGTGTATTTCTTTCCTTATATATATATGATGAACTTGAACCACATTTTTCATATGTGGACCATAGAAAAAAATAAAAAAAATAAAAAAGTGATCATGACTATGACTCTTAACTCAACCATAAACTTATACGGCAAAGACTATATACGCTACTCTACACTTTTTGAAATATCTGCATTTATTTTCTTTCTGGCAAATATATATATATATATATTCCTAGAAAATAGGTTTCCAAAACTATATACCCTATGTACCTCAGTCGGTCATCTCATTCATCTGCATGAGCCGATTTAAGGATTTTTGTCTTTCCAACCTCATATCGTGGTTGAACTTTTTTATGAACGCTTCCACGCGCCGATTCAACTCGTCTTGACTAAGCGACGGCTCTTTCCTCAGCAGCTTCCCACCAGACACAGGCACAGACACAGACACTTCAGCCTGATTGGTCCGATCATTGAACGTCTCAGATTTCTCCACAGTCACAGGAGTTGACTCCAGTGGGCCCGTGCTGCCGCGGTTTTGCCACGTGTTACACTTTTTCATGTGTCTCCTTAACGGCATTGGTCGACCTTCCGTTATAGTCTTCCACGTGTTCTCAAACGTCTCGTGCCGTTTCGGCCTTGCCACCCTCAACGCCCTTCCACCTACATACAATTAAACGTCATAAACTACATGCAAATTTCCAAAACGACAACGACAGTGCTTCACACTAAACTACTCTTCACTTCTTCTTTTTTAATTTTTTTAATTATTATTAATAATAATTAAGATGAAAAAAGAGAGAGAGAGAGAATTTGATTGATACCTTCAGTATTCGATTTGAGGGTTTTCCGGTGACCGAACTTAGCAGAAATGAGAGGTTTCTCCGTCGGCGATGGATATTCCGGTGGAAACTCCGTCGAGTCCATCCTCATAAGCGGCATTCCTGGATCGATTGCTTTCTCCTCCTCCTCTTGTTCTTCGACCAGCACGGGCTTCACCTTCCGAACCCGCGTCGACGGTGGAGATGTCATCTTATAAGCAGGGAGGGGCGGGGGAGTTGTCTCCGGTCGGTGGTACATGGAGGAGGCGACGATGGAGATGATGATGGTGTTGATAATGATGTAGAGGTAAAGAGGCTTCAAACACGTGAGGAAGAAGCTCCAGAGGAGAGAGAGTTGGGTGGTAGCGAATGGAATAGAGACCTTAATTCCCAACGCCATGAAAAGAAGGACGGCGGAGATAAGGAGAACTTTCGGAGAAAGCATGTTTGCCGGAAAAGTGGTTGAGCTTTATGGAGTGAGTTATAGTGAGACTGAGGAAGTTGAAAATCAAAATGGAATTTATAGAGTGGGGTTATAGGTACGCGGATCATTATGGAATCTGAGCCGTTGGATTGGATATACGGTTCCGATTTTGGTCTGTGAGGTGTTTAGAAAGTAATAAAATATTATTATTTAATATTAAACATTTGGGGATGCGGAGTATAAGTACGGGGATCATGGTGGAATCTTTTTTTCCGTAAATATCGATAAAGTTTTTAATGGATGGATTTTGAGATTTTCCATTAAACGTGGACAAACAAGACCATTTTATTCTGTGTAATCATTCAAGTTATTGATGTGGAGGCACTCACCAGTGAGACACTCCAACGTATCGATCTATCTTAATCTTAATCATGGCAATTGATCGGTAGTAAAAAAGAAAAATTGTAAAAGGGTGAATTGTTTTTCTTCGGTTGTCACTTTTTTTAATTAAAATTTGGAAAAAAATATGTGATTTTAAAGAATATAATATTATGTAATGAGAAAAAAAGATAGATAAAATAAAGAGTGGACAAAAAATATATATATTTATAGGTCCCACATTTTTATAAAAGTGAAATGATACAAATTGTATCATTTAAAGTACAAACATTTTTCTTATAAAATGTTTGTGTTTTGTTTGAAAGATAAAAACACTAATCATATCAGTCTGGTTACTTACCTAAAATTTAAGGCCTGCACGATAACGTTTTTAATTTTTTTTTCTTTTAGAAAAATATATATTATATATACATAGTATTTGGTTATTTTTCCATGATAAATTTAAGAGCAAACACTATAAATTTAAGAAATACTTTTTCCACTAACCTACTATTTATTAAATGCATATATTATAGAATGTGCTATCAGTATTAAATATATACTATTTATTAAATATATATTTTTCTCATTAGTAATACAAATAAATTATATTATCAAACTTTTTTTGTCTCCAAAAATAGGGAGATCAGAATGATTAATGTCATACCCTTAATAATAGGATTTTATACGACCAACAACGCAGTGCAAGATCAACTAAAAAAAAAAAATGCAGCGCAAGATGATAAATTCTGACAAGTAAAGGATGGTTTATGATTATGAGAAGAGTGACTATGAATTATGATAATTATATCCTACTATTGATGTGAATCAAAATTCTTTTTTTTTTAAATAAAAAAATACATATTTCTTTATATTATACAAGAGGAACGTTTTATATTGGTTATGTGGGTTTTGTAGAATTGTTGCTATTGTACAGAATCCAACGGTGTGATTAAAAAGCCTTTTTTCTTTTTAGTAAAGTATTTATCAAAAATAAAAAAAAATAAAAAAATAAAAGGTCCTTTTTTTTTGTAAATAATAGAAGGAATTTGTTAATCTCATGTAGCATAAGATGACTTATCACATGTTATAGAAACAAATTATGTGGGTTCCATTATTTTTAAAAAAATCAAATAAATAAATAAATAATGACACGACTTTTAATGTTTCACTAGCATAAGAGAGTTCTCTTCTTCAACGTAAGATAATTTAAACCCATAATAGAAAGTCCTTTTAGTTTGTGTGTGGTTCTGGATTCCCCTGCGCATGTGGCTTACAGGTGACAACTTACTAACAATATGTCCGAGTTGCTTACCAAAAAATAGAAATGTGTGCGAAATATTTGTACGTTTTTTATTATTTGGATTTCTTTATTTAATTTAATTTAATTCTTTATTTATTACATGCATTTGCCTTTTTTATTACCTATACTTTATACTTACTATACCTTTATTATATACTTTCTTTGAAAAATTATTATTCATTATCTTAAATTTGTTAAAACGTACCTATTTTTTATTTTTGATTAACTACAACTTAACACCGTCAAGTATTTTTAAAATCAAAAAGTTATTTATTATTTACTATTAAATACTTATATATTTTGTCAAAATATATAATATAATGAATTTTTCTTACAAAATGAAGTTATCTTTTTGACATAAATTGAAAAGATACTTAAAAAATCTTAGAATAAGATATTATTTACATTTTTAATGATTCCACTCATATAAATAGGACATGTTATATATATATATATATATATATATATATATATATATATATATATATATTAATTTTAAAAATATAAATTTTTCTCTTTTTATTTTATTTTTTAAATTATTCACCTCAATAACTTAAAGGCTGTAAGAGTATTACACTTTTTTTATAGGTTTAAATTTTTTTATTGATTTAATTATTTTCTGTCCATCATTGCAAACCATAATCTTGTTTAAAAATATCAAAATGAGACCAAATTGATAGTGAGTATATCTTTTATGTATTAAAATAGAATTTTACACAAAATTTAATTAAACTTGTGTGTTTGTTTGCATGTATTTATAAATTTTGTATTTTAAAATTAAGTGCTAGCTTGTGGCAATAGGGATATCACTACCTCCGAGTCCATTTATTATTAGTTTGTTTTTATCAACATTGTCTCTAAAAATCTTGATTTCGTATTTCTTACTGTCAGTCATGACTCATGAGAGGTCTCTTCAAATGGTAACTTATTTTTAATGAGTTTTTTTTTGGGATAATAGGTTTTAAAAGATTTACATGATGAATGATTAGACATTAGAATTAAGGGATAAATTATTCTACCTACTATTTTTTGTGCCTACCTCCCTCTAACACCTTAGATCAGAATCTCAAGAAGAGAGAGAAAGATAAATGTTAATTAAAATTCTGATCTAACGGTGTTGAAGGGTGATAAGCAAAAAAAATAGTAGATAAAATAACTTATCCCTAGAATTAAATATTAACGTTATAATATTTTTTTTTTTATAATATAAATACATATAATATATACACACACAAAAAGATTTCATAACAAAGGAGTAACAAAGTGGGTGACCGCTACAAGTGGTCGTCCGCTTTGTTAATTCTTATGTGTGTATTTATTTTTTATAATTAAGAAATTACATTCCGCTTGTTACGGAAATATCATCATCAGATAATAAAGTGCATTAGTTATGATGATATTAAAAAATTCATAATAGATGAAGTTAGGAAGAAATCAACTGCGTCTATATCATGCAATTAACTCACTATATAATTTTTTGGGTACACACTTTCTTTCTCGATCTGGCTTAAACTTTTAAGATTTTCTAACGAAATTAATTAGACGTGGACGGTCATGATAATTCATGCAAACTGAAGTCAGCAATATTGACTTCTGGTTAGGGAACAAGTGTGGATACATATATTGCATTCGATAGCATATTCTTTTGGTGGATCTAGGTAACATGTGGGCCATCTTTAACATTCATTGAAAAAAAATAAAAATAAGAAGAAGAGAATAAACAAGAGGAAGAAAGGACTAGTCTAATGAGCTAAAAAATTCCCTCCAAAGAGGGGGGAAAAAAAATTATGTAGTTTAAAGGTTAATTCTATCAAATGTCCGAGACAAAAACACTTTAACTGGCTGATAATGACACCCATACAAAAACCAATTTCTTAATTTGGAAGTTACAAACCGTAACTCTAGGAGTTTCTGGATGGAATATACACACCACAAACAGATCTAGATCCCAACTTAATCTGTTGGTCGTTTGGTCCAAATGGATATAGACAATTACCCACTTGAAAGGGAACATATTTCCACAGTACCAGGTGGTCTCTCTTGGTAAGAGATAAAATGGTCGGTTCTATAAAAAAACAAAAAAGCTATAACCGTTAGAGCTTTCTTAAATTGATAGATAAAATGGACTCATCTTGTTGGTCTGAATTGAAGGACGAAATTGTCTTGCTGTCGAGAAAAAAACCGAAGTGTGATGAAGGTAAGGAAACTATCAAGAATATATTTAATTTGATAATCCCAAATTTAAAGAAATGAGATATCATTTTCATATTTGGTATGATAATCGACTTTTATTTGATACTAAAAAAATATGTGATATTCATATTTTGGTTTTATATATACAAAATTTTAAAGAATCACCTATACAGAAATGATATTTACTATATTAGGATGGAAAATCACAACAAAATAAATGTTCTTATTTCAGGTTGTTTTTGACAAGATTAGAAATGGATAATATATATATTTTCATTAAATTTAGTAAATGAAAGTTGCAGGAAATTAATTCAGTTTTTCTTTTCATTAAATACGGGAACTACAGTACCGCACCATATAATTCTCCTTGAATTGTACAAGAATATAATAGTTTACTTATATTTTTATTTTTTTATTTTTTATGTTTTTTTTTATATGAAATTATATTTTAGTTAAGAGATATTTAAGCATATGAAAATTTTCAGAGTATTTTATTGAACATATACATCTTGATATTAATTAAGGAGTTTAGCTATGCCAGTTCAAAGCAGGATGCTTTGCTTATTTCCACGTTTGTTCTTATTTGTATATTATCATTTGCAATGAGGTACAAGGTTTCCATAAAAAAATATAAATAATTCATTTAAAGTATTTAAAGGTAATATGCGTCAGGATGACCAAAACGAAAAGTGTCCATGGTTGTATGTGTCGGCAAACAACTATCACATATGCACTTTTAAACTGTGTATCCTGCAAATGCCTAGATATTTCTCCTCCACTCTTTTTGTTTAATTAGAGCCTCAATTCTATCCAACCAAAAAGTGTTAAAAGCGTAGAACTTCATAAATAAGTAATATTATCATTCGACGACCACACAAAAAGGATAAAGATAAGAAAAACACAAGTCAAGCATTCAAGTTATCAATAGTATTCAGGTGGGAAACGTATGATAATATGGATAATGTGTAGGCCCAGTATTATTTAATCAACTGGGTTAGCTGGCTAGTAGATTAATGGCAATTGGTAACGTTAAGATCACAAACTACATCATAGTCATTCGAGTAAGAACTCCCATACACTTCATTCAAAGTTATCCCTTCAAAATGTACTGTTTGATTTGACTGCTTCTAATTTTAGTGCTAAACAAAGCACAGAAATAATTAAATAAGCATAGACCGTTTG